AACCCTCCCCGCATCTTTTATTCACGGCCCCGCAGCAGCAGCGGTGGCTGAGTGGACACACGGTCAGCACGGTCAGCGTGCGCCGGACAGAGAACGGTCAGAAGAAAAAAATCTGACCGCTTTTGTTTTCCCCGTTCTTCTTCTTTCCCCCCTCGACGTCCCTACCCTGACCTGCTTTGGAAAGTGAGTTTGTGGACGCATTTTCAACATTTCTATTGGGAAGTCGGCACCCGGTCGAGGTGGTGATCGGGCCCGTGTCGATGGCGCGCTGGTACGTCCCGCTCTCCATAATGCAAGGCTCGAGCAACGCCTACTCCTGGTCTGGGCCGGGGGCTGGCGCCCGGGACGCTCGATGCCGTCGCGCGTGGCCTGAGGGTGTGTGAGTGTGTCGGTGTGTGTGTGTGTGCGTGGGGGGGGGGAGAGAGAGACTTTTGCTAGAGAGCTTGCAGCAAAGCGCGTTTGAACCGAGAGCCTAAGTGATGCTGGGCTTTCCGTGGGTGGTGGTGAGGGAGGCGCCGACTGTGAGCGCCATGTGCTTGCCTCTCCCACGGCCAGCGTGGCGGCGCTGTCCGTCGCCGTCGCCTGCGACCCGCGACCCGCTGTGTGTGTGTGGGGAAGGGGGGGGGGATATAAGTGGAATATTACAGGGGTCCGACAGAGGCAATCTTCGTCTTTGCAATAAGCACCGCGATTTGGTGGTTGGGCCTCGGAGGCCCCCGTGAAAGCGAGCTCCGCTGCAGCTCCGGCCACACCAGCGCGGCAGCGCGGGCCTTCCTCGGGGCCAGCCTGCCCCGTCACCGCAGGCCCGCTCAATAATGCACGAGGCCCTCTCTGTTTGGTGCCAGGAAGGCGGCCGCTGAGCCTCGCCGAAGTGAGCGAATACGGACGCGACCAGGTGCCGCCGGGTTTATCTCTGCGCTGCGTTTGTTTTGTTTCCCGCGCTCCGCTTTTGCCGCCCGCGCGCGCGTTGACCCCGCCGCCGGGCCGCGCGCTTGCCGCTCTTGCTATGGCCAGGCGTGGCGCGGCGCGGCGGGCGGCGGTGAGATTCTGCTACCGGCAGGTGGTCGGTCCGGGCCGGCGTCGCCCCCACCCCCGGCAGCGGAGCTCAGCAGAGTAAATGCATTTTTGATAGAGCGGAGGCGGTGCGGCGGGGAGTCCCTCAACCCCCTCCAGGCCCCCCGCCCTGCCAGTGTTCACGCCTGCCCACCTGTCGTCTGTCCGTCCGCCCGCGCTGCTGTGGTGTTCTCGACCCTGTACTGACGTGCTCCTCTTGTGTCTGTGTGTCCGCAGGCTACGTCCAGGAGCTGACGGCGCTGCCCTTCACCGCCTACCTGGGCCACCACCCCACCCTGCCGCCGCTGTCGCCCGGCTCGCCCGCGCCCACCTACGCCACCCTGCAGCCGCCCTCCCCCTCCTCGTCCACGCCGAGGCGATGCTTCACGAGCACGGGCGCCCAGCTGTCGCTGCCGCCCAAGAAGAAGGACATCTACCGGCCGTACTCGCTGGAGCCGTCGTCGTCGCCGCAGCCCCTCGACGTGCGGGAGGAGGAGCTGCAGCAGCGGCCGTACGTGGAGGTGGCGCGGCCGGAGCCGCAGCGCGCGCGCCCCATCACCCTCACCATCACGCCCACGCCGCCCGTGCGCCCCATCCCCCTGGACCCCATGCGCGACTACCAGCAGCTCGACACGCGGCCGCCGCCCCTCAGCCTCAGCACGGCCGCGCCCGACGACCTGACGGCCGCGCACGCCATCCTGGACCTGAGCGCGTCCACGCTGCCGTACCCGCCGGCCGTGCACCACCAGCAGCACCTCCACGACGAGCAACAGCAACAGCAGCAGCAGGCCCACCTCCAGCCGCAGCCCAAGTCCAGCCCGGACGTGGGCTCCACCAAGGGCTCCAGCAAAACCGTCTCCTACACCTACGAAGCCTTCTTCGTCAGCGACGGCCGGTCCAAGCGCAAGTCGTCCTCCTCGGAGGACGAGGGAAGCGGCGGCAGGGACAACAACGCACCGGACAAGAAGGGGCGCTACGCGTGCGGCGAGTGCGGCAAGCGGTACGCCACGTCCAGCAACCTGTCTCGGCACAAGCAGACGCACCGCAGCCTGGACTCGGGCTCGGCGCGCCAGTGCAACGTCTGCGGCAAGGCCTACGTGAGCATGCCGGCGCTCGCCATGCACGTGCTCACCCACCAGCTGACGCACGCGTGCGGGGTGTGCGGCAAGCTCTTCTCGCGGCCGTGGCTGCTGCAGGGCCACCTGCGCTCGCACACGGGCGAGAAGCCCTACGGCTGCGCGCACTGCGGCAAGGCGTTCGCCGACCGCTCCAACCTGCGCGCCCACATGCAGACCCACTCGCAGGACAAGTCGTACTCGTGCCACCGTTGCCACAAGAGCTTTGCACTCAAGAGCTACCTCAACAAGCACCTCGAGTCGTCCTGTGTCCGGGACGGCGTCAGCTCATCGGAGGAGTCGTCCATGACGGGGTCCGTGGAGGAGAACACGAGCTCCGCCTTCGCGGCGCCCAACACCAGCATGGTGGGCATGCCCTTCGCCACGGCGTGCTCAGCGTGAGCCACCATTGTACCACTCACCGCTGTGACGCCCACAGAAAGAATTTGCCAAAGAAAGAAACGAAAAACTATTTTGTACGTCAAGTAAAAATGGCGCAGCGGTGTTTACCCAAGCGATGCTCGCTCCGTCCCACACTCTCTCTCTCTTTCACAGAGCGTGGCCGGGCTTTTTTCACTCTATTAATGCGGCCCGGCCATTATTTTTTACAAATTTTATATGTCTCGCACAGACAGAAGGCCTGACCAGGTCCGGAAAATATTGTCTCTATTCAAAACTGATTGAAAGTGTGCATTTAAAGGACTATAGCTTGACGGTATTTCGGTGGTTTCTTAGTCATGATTTTGAGAGTTATTTGCTGATTGTATGATATTGATGTTCGTCATTTTATTTTATTAGACTTGACAAAGCTAACAAAGTGCACGCTTTGACAAGCCCACTGCGGTTCTGCAGGTTGGTTAGAGATTTGTACAGGTTATTTTAGTCAACAAGTTTATAAAACGTTTGTTTTTTATTTATTATTACGACTGGACATTTATAAACCAAAAAGTTATTACGGTTAAGTAACACCGACCAGTAGTCGGCTTGTATAATAACTTAGACAGTTTAGTGAGATATAAAACACTTGCTAGTCAGCGTGCATAGTCGCTAGTCACTAACTAGTCGGGACCGAAAAGCATCTGGTATGCTGGGACCTCGTCCCTAGCTTCCGATGTCTTCACTTTACCATGTAGTAAGTAAATTTTGACACTGCTCAGGTTCCACTGCATCGTTAATTTATGTGGAGAGGGGTGACCGTGTTTTTATTACAGTAATGTACACTTAATACTTTAAGATTTATATGCTACGCATATAGCTCACGTAAATTTTTGCAAGGTATGAGTACCAGCTTTCCTAATATTAGGGTTGGCTTTATGAAAAATTGCCAACAAGGCAGTGGTCTTTGGTTAGGTGATAACATTAGTGATAGACCAAAAGACTTAATATGTTTTAAGTTGTTTCTTTTCTTCAAAGTTATTGATCTCCGTAACTTCAAAAACATTCCAAATTTTAGAAACCCGCTGCCTTTTATATTTTAAGTGTGTCGTACTGTTGAGGCTGTAAATGTATATATGTGAAATACCAAAAATGCATTATTATTGTATAGGGATTCATTGAATTTTATTTTATACATACAAGTATGAAGCGTGCTGTGACATGTCTATTAGTGTACATAGGTGCTTACTGGCCCAATTATACAGGAAACAATTAGTCATAATTTTAAGTAGACTAGTCTGAGCCTAGGGGACTGGTGCAATAATGCCTTTAAAATAATTACGTATGAGTCAGAACGCTTGAATGGAGTGGTTGGTTCGCGGAAGCGTTGAATGCAAGAATCGAGTGAATGGTAAGAACTAAACTAAATCTTTCATTTATATTTTTCTTGAGTTTTCTATTCTTTTCACCAATGCCAGTTCTGAATAACTGGGAAAACAAACACTGATATTTGCTCAGCTATTGCCTTTTGTATCTCTCAGAAGTGTTTGATAATAACCACAAATTATTAATACTTAACCATGTATTTAACTTAGAATTTCGTTTGAATATTGCCCTATCTATTGGTGAAGGGAACAAAATTATCCTCGATGAGCACGCCTGCAGTTCGCGACGTCCTACCGCAACGTCTTTACAAAGTTGCCTGGAATCTGATAGCCTCCTAGCCTCTTCGAGACATTGGCTTTAATCCTTGTAAACTGCCGTCCTCGACCCCCATCGTCCAATCCCCTTCTTATCAGATCTCATACCGAGTGCTGCTCGATGTACTAAAAAGTAAGTCGTTTCTTTTTATTCGCACTATTCCTGGAGCGAGTTTCTGCAACATCTATTGACCCCACCCTCGCCCCGGCCAACTAACAAAAAAAATGTCCCTGCGCCTGCATTGGCATGCAGAGCAAGATTTCCGAGAGCGCAGCCGCGTGGAGATATACCAGCGCCTCAGGGAAGCTTACGAGAAGTGATGATGCTGAGGGGAGAAAAACGGTCGGGTAAGCGGCGCTGGTCACCAATACAAATGGCAGGGGTGGGCCTACGTCACACAAGTGGGCACGAGAGGGCCCCCTTTGTATGATTGGCCGGGTGAGCAGACAACACTCACCACCCATCCTGCATTACGCTGTGCGTCCAATGCACGGATGCTTGCTTGTCAATATTGCGCATTTCGTTCACCACGACCTGTTTTTTTCCCCCTCTTTTCCACTTTGTTCTGATTCTTTTGTGGAAATATTTGGCCAAGAGGACGGCACAAAACAGGGCGGTATAAAGTGGTTACACCTTAAACTTAACCGAAATCTGAACCCTTTCTCTCAATCTTTCTCAATCTTTTCTACGCTACTTTCTAGGGACATGGTAAACTTCTTTATGGGTCCGTAAGGTCATGTTGATACTTTTCTTTCCCCTTATTTCTCTTTTTTCTCAAAACCCGTTGCATAGCAGAGCTTCCTTTATCTGCTGGTAATGGTTGGAAAGGAAAGTGTTCTCTATCTTCACTCTTTCATCTTGCTCCTAATATCAGCTTCATTTCAGCTACGGCCTGTATTACCTGTCCTAAATCTATCACTTTCTATCTCTATATTATTACTTTTTTTCTACTTTTCGTTATTGTTTTCTTCCTTAACTAAATCTTTCGAGGCTCTTGTACTTTCTTCATTCACGATTCTAGAGTCTCACCCACCTCATATTTCCAATTCTATATCTATACTTTCCTATCGCTTCTTGAATTCTTGAGAGATCGGACAAAGAGTTATCAATTTCAAAGAAAAGGTTTTATTTCCTGAGGTCAGACGTGATTTGCAGGTGTGCACCAAGTAGGTAGCTTGTCTCATCTTGTTTCCCCTTTAATCGGAACTAGCTGAGGTAAACCCAGCGAGTGTATAATCTAGTCATGATTACTCTATCCAGCGGCAAAGTGCTTAACTAATAGGTAAACGTATATATTAGGACGGTATGATTAAGTGAGGAGTTTGAATGAAAATGAGTGTATGGTTTTTCTGGTCAACTTTGTTCTATCGAGTCATTTTTATTGTCTAGTCAAAGTCCTTTGTAACAGTTAACGTTACGGTATTTGAGTGTTTTGTTTGAATCGTGTCAGTACAATAATTGTTAAATGATGTTGGCCATGTTATGTTGTACGAGCTGTACAGTTGTCTTGTTACTTTTTACATAGATGTGAAAAACACATTTTATGGAAAACTATTTGTTCCAGTTGTTAAAATTCTTCTTGAAAATTACATTATTTTGAGCGAATGGGACGTAAAATTGTTAGCCAATCAGAATTCGTTTGTAAATAAAACGGGTCTTGTTGCAAAACATGTTTCTTGATCACATTTTGTGACTTATTTTTTCACAAGTTTTTCTGGCTTTTCAGGTCGGTCGCTTGAATGTACGGGGCTTTTAACGCTGGTTCGATTTTTATAATGCTAAAGTTCATAGCTTCATTATCAGGATTATAAAGAATAACTATTCTTTAAAATGTTTGCACAAAGAACTGCGGAAACATTTAAGAACTGCTCATAAGCAAAGGAAGTTAAATTCGAAAATTCCTCCTCGAATCGTGTCTTAAATCATAATGAGTCAATTAATTTACGCGTTCAATTACGCATGTACAACAATGCGAGCGTTCTCATACTGGGAAATCGTTAGCTTATGTTGACATGGTCTCTGCTACGAATGTCAATTCATGTCTTGTATGTACATAAAATGTGTAATAAGTAAACATTTCATGTCATCGGTAACGCGTTTGTGTAGAGATTTTGGTGTATAAAGGCGTTTACAACTGTGTGTTTCGAAGCAATAAATTATAGCAATATCACTGTTTATTTCAGCAATAATTAAATGTTAAACCTTATTTATTGAGCAATAATTCAACGAGATTTGGTTAACGAACCCTCGTACTGTCAGTGCTCCGACCGTATGATATGCCGGGTATTCGAAAGCAATAAATTCGTAGTAATAAGGGTTACAGTGTCAGGGCTCCCTCGGTCTACCGTCGGAATAAATGCTCTCACGTGCCCAATATACTTAGCAATACAAATAGTAATAATAATTTAGTTCAAATTTACAAAATTTACGTAAGAATTTTTTGTTATAAAAACAAACAAAGCAAAAAAAAAATGAAGGTTGTAATACACCATAATGTGCTGGTTACAGACGTGTACCTTCCGTTGAGGAAGAGAACCATTGTGTCTCTAAGATTGCCTAATCCAAGGTAGTGTAGCAATGATTGACTGAAAATGCTTTTAAAATAAAAGATGATGTTATTATGATAATTTAACGGAACGATGCTGATTAAAACGACATGGAGATGGCTTCATGCAAAGTTCTTTGATTGTTTGAGTACGTAAGTCTACGTATCTGGACGAAGGGAAAGAGATGAATTATACGCTCTTAACACAAACAACTACATATGTGTTCAGCTTCGCACCCGAACTTTACCTGCACGCCCCATACAAATTCGCTTTTATTTCGCTTGTTATGTCTATGAATTCCGTACCATTTGCTTTGCCATATAGTTTAGAACGATACGATCCAACGACTTTTCTGTTTTACAAAATGTTAAATACCAAAGGTAGACATTGTGATTATATTTGCTAGTAAATAATAACGCTGCCTGTACGGTGAAGGCTAAAACTATAATAGCTTAATTTTAACTTTCTTCTTGAAAACTAGAACTTTTTTATGACTCTTTAGTCGAAAAGCATAGCGATTTGAAGATGTCTAAAGTTAGATGGCACCAACTTCGATTGGTGTTTTGCTGTCGTGACAATGTCCTGAAGGCAACACAATGCAAATTTTAAATAATGCTGCCAGCACAACTTGTGCTTCAAACGTGCTTTGGGCTATCCACTGTTCGAAAGCTAAACAGATGCCATATTCATTGAACCAAAGGCATAAATAAGTAGTAATTAGCAAATGATTTTTTTTACAAAGCAATATGTATATATCATGACGTCTTTATTTCAAGTTTATAAGTGAGTGTACATCTTGTCATTTAGTATTACTTCATTTTGCTGTCACTTAACAATGATGGCGTAGAAAACTATGTATTTATTCATAAGTTAGCAAATTTCTCTTATTAGTGTTTTGTTTGTAGAGGGTTTCTCACATTTTATTACTTTTCTTGTATTTCGGTTTATTATGTTCGCTGAGGACTGATGCCATTCTTTGTCTGTCAACTTATTCTATATTTTGTGACTGATATACGAGTTTTCGAAC